CCACCCCACCCTCTGCCCTTACCCCCCCCCGCCCCCGTCCTCATCCATAGGTGCACGATTATTGTCCAGTCTCTTCCCACATCCCTCACACCCCTTTCCCCCCTAAGAATAGTCCACTCCCTTTCTATGTCCCTGATTCTATTATAATCACCAGTTCATTCTGTTCATCAGATTATTTATTCACTTGATTTTTAGATTCACTTGTTGATAGATGTGTATTTGTTGTTCATAATTTGTATCTGTACCTTTTTCTTCTTCTTCCTCTTCTTAAAGGATACCTTTCAGCATTTCTTTTTTTTTTTTATTTTATTTTATTTTATTTTTTTATTTATTTATTTTTTTTTAATTAAATCTTTATTGTTCAGATTATTACATTTGTTCCTCTTTTTTTCCCCCCATAACTCCCCTCCTCCCAGTTCCCGCCCCACCCTCCGCCCTCACTCCCCACCCACTGTCCTCATCCATAGGTGCACGATTTTTGTCCAGTCTCTTCCCGCATCTCCCACACCCCTTTCCCCCCCAGGAATAGTCAGTCCATTCCCTTTCTATGTCCCTGATTCTATTATAATCAACAGTTCATTCTGTTCATCAGATTATTTATTCACTTGATTCTTAGATTCACTTGTTGATAGATGCATATTTGTTGTTCATAATTTGTATCTTTACCTTTTTCTTCCTCTTCCCCTTCTTAAAGGATAGCTTTCAGCATTTCATATAATCCTGGTTTGGTGGTGATGAACTCCTTTAGCTTTTCCTTATCTGTGAAGCTCTTTATCTGACCTTCAATTCTGAATGATAGCTTTGCTGGATAAAGTAATCTTGGTTGTAGGTTCTTGGTATTCATCACTTTGAATATTTCTTGCCACTCTCTTCTGGCCTGCAAAGTTTCTGTTGAGAAATCAGCTGACAGTCGTATGGGTATCCCATGTAGGTAACTGAGTTTCTTTCTCTTGCTGCTTTTAAGATTCTCTCTTTGTCTTTTGCTCTTGGCATTTTAATTATGATGTGTCTTGGTGTGGTCCTCTTTGGATTCCTTTTGTTTGGGGTTCTCTGCGCTTCCTGGACTTGTAAGTCTATTTCTTTCACCAGGTAGGGGAAGTTTTCTGTCATTATTTCTTCAAATAGGTTTTCAATATCTTGGTCTCTCTCATCTTCTGGCACCCCTATAATTCGGATGTTGGTACTCTTGAAGCTGCCCCAGAGGCTCCTTATGCTATCTTTGTATTTTTGGATTCTTTTTTCATTTTGCTTTTCCGGTTGGGTGTTTTTTGCTTCTTCGCATTTCAAGTCTTTGACTTGATTCTTGCGCTCCTCTGGTCTGCTGTTGGGAGTCTGTATAATATTCTTTATTTCAGTCAGTGTATGCTCAATTTGTAGTTGGTCCTTTATCACAACATCGAGGGTCTCATTAGATTTCTTGTACAACTCATTAAGTTTATCGGCAGTCTCTAGAAGACTCTTGAAAGATCTCAAAAGTGTGGTTTTGAATTCTATATCCAGCAGCCTGCTTTCCTCCAGTTCTGTCATTTGTGTCCCGTTCCTTAGTCTTGGCATTTTTTATGCTTTGCTGTGTCGATAGAGTGGCTTTCTGTGCTAAGTGTCCCAATTACCTGAGCTAGACACTCTTGGTGCACCCCCTTGTGGTCTTTGTGCGCAGTCTTGTTGTAGCTAAGCCTTGATTGTTGTAGGTAACACTGGGAGGGATTTGACCTCCAGGCCAATTGGCTGTGAGAATCAGCTGTGTCTGCAGTGGGAGAACTTCTATGCTGGATCTCTAGGGCGGTGCTAATCTAGCCTCTGCCTGAGGCTAACCAGCAAATGCCTCCCTTCAAGGCTTGGGCGGGGCGGGCCCCAGGGGATCAACAAGGCGGGCGGAGTGAGCAGTTATGGCTGCTCTCAGTCCCATCCCCAGAGGCTCTGCCTCTCAGTGTCCCAGCAACTGCTGCAAGCACCTCAGAGAGAAAGCTGCCCTCGAGTTCCGACCGATGCCATACAGTCCCGCTTCTCCCGTTTGAGTCTGGGTCCCCAAAGACTCGCCCGGAACTGGAGCCCAGAGCCTGAGACTTCCTCCTGATTGAAAAAGACAACCGCTCCCTCAGCCGCCAGCCCGCTTTGCACGCACCTTTGTATTTTACTTCAGCACTGCGCCTCCTCTGAGTCTCGGTATGCTTTTCTCTTTCCTTCTAGTTGTAGAATTTCCCCTCAGCCAGCCTTCCTGTGGTTCTGGGTGATGTCCGTTCCGTCTCTTAGTTGTATTTTTGAAGTGGTTGTTTGAGGCAGCAATCTCCGGTGTTTACCTATGCCGCCATCTTGGTCTTTATTTTTATTTTTTTAAATATGTTTTATTGATTTTCGTCCCTGAAGGCCAGTTCTCACCCCCAGGCCAGAGCTGGTTCCCCTAGTTGTCGCTAGGAAATGCGTGAGGCGGGTCTCTCAATAGGATTGTTATAAGAATTAAACAGGGGCCCTGGTCAGTTGCTCAGTGGTTAGAGCATTGGCCAGTGCACCAAAGGATCAAGAGTTTGATTCCTGGTCAAGGGCATGTACCTGGGTTACAGGTTTTATTTTTGGGGGGTGTTTTTTTAAGGTCACCAAAAATTTTGGTTGCCTCCCCCCGCAAAAAAAATTGAGAGAGAGAGAGAGAGATTTTTATTTTGTTTTTTAAATCTTCATTGAGATTATTACAGATGTCCCTCTTTTTCCCATTGCCTCCCTCCACCTGTTCCCCCCCTGCCCCAGGCCTTCGCTTCCCTATTGTCTGTGTCCATAGGTAATATATATATGCATATAAGACCTTTCTTTAATCTCTTTCCCCCTTACCCTCCTTCTTTCTGAGAATCATCAGTCTGTTCCATTTCCATGCCTCTGATTCTGTTTTATTCACTAGTTTATTCTGTTCATTCGATTTCTTATTCATTTATTCTGATTTTTAGATTCAATTGTTGATGGGTATGTCTTTGTTGCCATTTTGTTGTTCATATTTTTAATCTTTTTCTTTTTCTTCTTCCTCTTCTTAAAGATTACCCTTCACCATTTCATATAATACTGGTTTGGTAGTGATGAACTCCTTTAGCTTTTTCTTGTCTGTGAAGTTCTTTATCTGACCTTCAATTCTAAATGAGAGCTTTGCTGGATGGTTGTAGGCCCTTGCTATTCATCACTTTGAATATTTCTTGCCACTCCCTTCTGGCCTGCATAGTTTCTGTTGAGAAATCAGCTGACAGTCATATGGGCATTCCCTTGTAGGTAACTAACTGCTTTTCTCTTGCTGCTTTTAAGATTCTTTCTTTGTCTTTAGCCCTTGGCATTTTAATTATGATGTGTTTTGGTGTGGTCCTCTTTGGGTTCCTCTTGTTTGGGACTCTCTGTGTTTCCTGGACTTACAAGTCTATTTCTTTCACCAGGTAGGGGAAGTTTTCTGTCATTATTTCTTCAAATAGGTTTTCTTTTTTGGGGGGGAGGGGGAGAGACTCCAATTTGTTTGTTTGTTTGTTTATTTATTTATTTCAATTTGTTTATTTTTAAACAAAATCTCCAAAACAACAAATGTCAATTGCTTTTTTTCCAGCGAAGGACAAAACAAACTTATTGTTGAAATGCAGTGCTACTGGGAGAAGTGCATTTCTGCATCTAGCTGCTGCTCAGTATGTTCCACATTCCCTGCCCCCCCAGCATTTAAAATCTTTTTCTTTCTTTCTTTATTGATTAAGGTATTACATATGTGTCCTACCCGCCCCCCCCCCCCCCCACACACACACATGCCCTCACTCCCCTGGTGTCTGTGTCCGTTGGTTAGGCTTATATGCATGCATGCAAGTCCTTTGGTTGATCTCCAAATAGGTTTTCAATATCGTGCTCTCTCTCTTCTTCTGGCACCCCCATAATGGAAATGTGCATTCTTTTTTCTTTTTCCTCTTCTGGTTGGGTATTTTTTGCTTCCTCATATTTCAAATTGTTGATTTGATTCTCAGAATCCTCAACTCTACTGTTGAATCTGTGTATATTATTCTTTATTTCATTCAGTGTATGCTTAATTTCTGACTGGTTCTTTTCCATGTGTTTGGCATTCTCACTACTAAAGTCCTTGAAAGTCTCACAAACCCTTGGAGGTTTCTAGAAGATTTTTTTTTAATTGAAACTGAATATTATAATTTATTCCATCTTCGTGATTACAGATATTATAGGGCAGGGTGGGCAAACAACACAAATAAAGCAAATTCCTTTCTCCCCTAACCAGATACAGTGTTTTAGCATTTTCATGATATACAGTTTGACTTAAATTCATTGACTTAGCTTGAAAGCTGGCCACAGCAGCAAATCTTTGCAACTTAGATCTTCCTCCATAGCATACGCCAAGGATCATAATGACTGAATTAACTATGAACTCTGAAATGGTGTTTGCTCTAACATTCTTGAGGCTTTCACATCTTAATCTGAGATCTGACACCTCTTGTTAAGGCTGGGGACTATTAAAAGCTTCCTGTTGGCTAACCCAATCCACCATTTAGCATCTTAACAGTTAAGTTACTATAAAAAAATAAAACTGCTCCCAAGCTTTGATTGAAACAGTCGTGCTGGGATCCCTTTACAGAGCATTAGCTCCCTGAGAAAAGAGAGGTCCTAACCAGTTGCTTCCATGAACAATGACTCCAGTACAGTATATCTAATGTCCTTTGAGGCATAACTCAAGAGGTCAGACAACCATGATTATCCTGACAAGTTTATCAGTCTTTAGATACAAGATATATTTAAAGCTGATCCCAGATGAAGTATTGCAACTATAATCCCAAGAAATCATCCAGTTTTAGCACAGCGAGTTCCTGCAAGATGTTAGAGCAAGTGAGGAAATCATCCCAAAGTAAAAAGTGATGATCTTTTATAAGTGAGAGGAAAATAAGTCCTCATTAAATTGATGGTTATCTTCACAGCCTTAATTGACAAAATCCAGAGGGCTCACATTTCCTGATTGGAGGAGTCTATTTTCAAGGTGACTGTCAAGG